GAGCGCGTTACTAAAAAATGATAACGAGACAACGCTGCCCGATTGAAAATGAAAATGAAAAATCAGTGTGTTAGTGGTAGGGTGCGCCCTTCGCCGTAAATTCATGCGTCGCGCTTATTAAAACCGCCGGCCAGTTTGTGATATATTTAGTGAAAAACAAATTAAAATTAAAACATTTAAGGTAAATGAAAAAAAAAAGAAAATTAAAAAAAAAAAAAAAAGAAAAGAAAAACACAATTTAAGGTGGAAGAAAATATAAGAAATAAAATGAAGAAACTAACGGAGTGGTTGTTATTCGAATTAAAACGGGAATGTAGTAAGAAGGGAAGGTAAGAAAGGGGGGACGGATAGAAAGTGAGAATGGTAGAGAAGTATAGATGAGAGAAAAAATGAGAGAGAAAGAGAGAGAGAGAGAGGAAAGATAAAATAAGAAGTTAGGGTTAGCACAAGAAACAACGGTTTTACATATTCGAACTGAACACACTCGCGAGAGCATCTTTAAATAAAAATAATACTTTACAACACGCGAACACATCGAAGATCGTTGATATAACTTACAAAAGAACAAAAAAAAAATAAAATTAAACAAATTAAAAGTGTGTAAAGAAAGAAAGAAAGAGATAGAGAGAGAGAGAGAGAGAGAGAGAGAGAGAGAGAGAGAGAGTAAAAATAAGTAGTACCTACGAGTTCGTTTGCACGCACACATCTGAGATTATTGTTCGATCGTTTCCTCGCTAATAATAAAAAACGAACAAATCACGCTACAAACGTCGTTATGGCAAACACGATATTAAACAAAACTATCGATATAATACTCGTAAATTATTGTCACGTTGGACTCTTTTTCTTTTTCTTTTTTGTTCTGTTTTTCTTTTTTTAATATCTCAAAGAGAAATGAGAGAAAGTAAAATGCGAGTTTGTATCGATTTGATTTGTCCGCTCTAACGATTTTGATATGGTATTGTTGAACAAAAAAAGAGAGAGAGAGAGAAAGATTTTATATTGAACGATTGCGAATATATAATTTTTTATATGACTCACACACACGTACAATACAGCCACGAATTTAAAATAGTGTACAACCGGACGGTACTCTACTCGCTTATTATATAATTCGGATAATTTCTCAGCGTGTTGTGTGCGATACTCGTCCGATTATGTATTTCAAAAGAAAAAGATAAAAAAAAAAAAAAGGATAACAAATAAAAATCTTTAGGTATTACGCATCGCGCGAGATAGAGAAAACGAATAAGAATAAGGTGAGGAAGATAATATAAAGAAAAAAAATAGAAACAAAAAAATATTAGTGCGATGAAAATTGTTCTCTCTGCAATGAAAAGAAAAGAAAAGAAAAGAAAAATAAAATAACGATAGGAACGCGTATTATCTATAGTCGCGACGGTGGAGGGATGAAACGAGGATTTAAACAAAAAAAAGGAAAACAAACAATTAATTCTAAGAAGGACGTTTTTAACACCCGATTAACACCCACGGCCTAAACCCGTCTAAAACACACAAGCATACATACGTACACTTAACAGAGGACAGATATATACTACTTAACACTTATACAGAGTTTAATACATAATGAACATTTTCAAAATGACAGTGCACACTATGTAATATTGTAATGTTATTTTTCGAATCTAGGAATTAAATGTAGATAAACGATATATATATATATAAATATATATATGATATGTATGTGAGTATACATATACATATATTTACGATATGTGTACACTATGACACAGTAAAAACTCACATTCTACTCTTACGCATTAAAACACGTTTACACGTTATTATTACACATCGAAAAAAAGAACATAGCCAGCCGCAACGATACGTAAAAAAAGAAAAATAAAGAAATAATAATAAAATTCAAAAAAAAAAAAAAATAAACAATGAAAACAAGAAGAACAATGCGAGAAAGGATGGGTATTATGAATGATCGGTTTCATAAATATCTGAACTTTTATTATAATCGAAAGGAAAGTATCCATGTATGTATATTTCGCGATTACGTCAATGAACAACAACAACAACAACACAACAAAATAAAAACGTTTCAAATTAAATTTGTGAGTGTTGTTGTCGCGAAGCAAATAAATGAACAAAATGACGCCGTGCCCCGAAGTGGCGCCAAGTTGCAGCCGATATTTTTACCAAATTTTTCGTTTTTTCGAACAAACGAACGATCGAATATATATCCTTTCGACGATTTCTTTCGCGAAAGAATTTAGGTGCAACTTTGCGCTGCTTTATAAAAATTAGGGTTACGCGATCGATCTTCTCGTTGATCGAAAGAAAACAGAAAACGATTTCAACCAGAACGATCGAACGTCGATAGAAAACAAATTTCGATTTCACACTTTTTAGGGGGAGGGAAAGAAGAAAAAAAGAGAACGTAAAAAATTGAAACGAGAATTAATTGTTGCGCGATAGAAAGATATTATAATAAACGAAAAGGAAAAAAAAACATTTAAAAATGATTGTCACGCGAAAATATGAAAAGAGAAAGAGAGAATGAGGAATGAAATCGTAATAATAATAATAATAATAATAATAATAATAATAATAATAATAATAATAATAATAATAAAAAAAGGAAAAAAAAAAAAGAATAAAGAAGAAAAAAGGACCTTTTCCCCTAATCCCTCCTACCCCTCTCCTGTCGCGTACATCCTCCCTCCATTTTTCGAATTGTCCTTCGAACTTTTAGCCGCCCTCGCGATGGTAACCTATAAAGTTCGTCGAGCTGTGTAACGGGGTGACGAGAGAAAAGCGTAAGAAAAGAAGAAAAAAAATTATTAAAAATAAAAATAATTATATAATACAAAGAAAAATAAGATGAAAAAGAAAGGGTGAAAGAGAGAGATTGATGATGCGTATTTATTATAATGTGCATCATCCGCCGCGCGTTCTATTCGACGAAATCTTTTTGTAACAGATTTAAACACGTAAGGAATTACACCGATACGATCATCCGTATTGCGTTCGATAAGTTGTGTGGAAGAGTGAAACGATAGAAATAAAATAAAATAAAATAAAATAAAATAAAATAAAGTAAAGTAAAGTAAAGTAAAATAAAATAAAATAAAGTAAAATAAAATAAAAGTGAAGAGGAAGAAGAAGAAGAAGAAGAAGAAGAAGAAGAAGGAATAGAAGAAGTTCATTGAGAAAGATTGAGAGAGAGAGAGAGAGAAAGCGAGAGAATGAGTGAGAGAAAGAAAGAGAGAGGATAGGGACGACTTTCCAAAAAAAAAAAAAAACAAAAAAAAGAAAATGAATAAATAAAAAAGAAATAAAATTTTGGAAATCGTCGAGATATAATGTTATACACTTATATTTGCGGCTAAGCTGAGAAAATGATGATGATGATGATGACATGTATAGACTTGATTTTTTCTCAATCGTTTTAAGTTTATCGTTTCAAACGAACACTTGTTATTAGGATATTTTTGTTGTACGTATATGCTGGCATGTTGAGGAAATAAAAAAAAAATAACGTGGGTGAGAGGAATGAAATAAAAAATGAAAGAAAGGAAGACAGGAAGATAGAAAAAAAAAGAAAAGAAAAAAATAATATAAAAGGATAGATCGTCGCGAAGCCGTTTTGACAAAATCTTTCTATTTTTGGAAACGTACAAGCTACTCGAATTCGCAATTCGTGTCGACGTTGATTATTTTTAAAAGTAAATCTTTAAACAACTACTTTTAATGATAAAAATATTCTTCTGTTAGTTGTTTCTCTTTCATTTTAACATTTTTAATTTGCGTGTTTGTAACGAAACACGACGATAGTTTTGTTCAATCATTCAATCGTGTTAGTTGTGACGAATAACTTGTACGTCGATTTTAATAGAAAGAGATAGAAAGAGAAAAAGAAAATGAGAAAGAGAAAGCGAGGGAAAGTAAGAATGAAAGGAAGATAGAGATAATGATAGAAGAAAGAGAACGAGAGAGAAAGGGAGAGGAGATACTGTGTATTATGGACTAGGGGAAAAAATAACATTGTGATGTTTATTGATGAAATATGTCAAAAAAAGAAGGCCCACTGGTTGAGGCCCGACATTTCTGAGTACACTATAAATAATAAACATTATGTAAAATTTACTGAAACATAGACAATACTTTTTTCATTTCCATATCCTTGACCAAAATAACATTAAATAAATTTTTTTTTATATATATCAATAAAAAAACAAAAAAATCTATTTTATATTTAGAATATATATAAAAGACAAAGAAAACTAAATAAGCGAATCGTTGATTGTAAGCCGTGAATGCATCGAAACCGCACAGTTAAATGCATTCGATTGGTTGTGTCGTTGTTGATCGGTTAAGTGTGATTCATACAACATTTGCACGCTCATGCAAATTTCTAATTTGCAATGAATGGGCGATCTCTTTCAAGATCGAACAAGTAGATCAATTTCAAAATGACCTTAAACGACGTAACTACTCGATAGAGAGGTAATTTTATAGTTTTGATTGATCATGCGCGTTAGGAGGAGTGCGTTCGTTCGGTCGCATCGAACCGCATGGAATCGCTTCGAAAAAGACCACGGACAGGTTTAATTTCATTGGTCAGTTTGCAAGTTGTGTGCACTCGTGAACTAGAAACCACGAGCCATCGACTAAGCAGCAATTTTATCTGCAGCGTCTGCGCACTTGGCATCATGTGGAAAATGCAACTCGTTTTCGCTGATATGCGTTCTCAATCATGATTGGACGACTAGAAGATTTGTTTTGTTAATGTTATTCTTTTCATTTTTATTTTATCATCATTATTATTATTATTATTGAAATTTAATGTTTAATAATTATAAAATATAATATGTTAGTATGCTTAATAAAAATGACAATAGGTATCTCAAAGTTTCATAAAAATTAAACGATCGTAAAAGATGTGTTGCATTTTTTCATCTATCGGGAAAAAAAAAGAAATAAATAAGAAAACTTGTTTATCAAGGATTTGGGGAAAATTGGATGGAAACGTGTCGCGAATATCATCATTCAGAGTACCAAACGACGCCTTAGGGTGTTTAGCATGAGCGCTGCGATCGTTTCTAACAGTGGCGTAACATGACGCATTAAGGTGAGGAAAGTGCGTTAGGTGAAACTAATGGTTGAGTGGTTTGTCGAAGGTAGGTAAGGATTGAAAAGAGACAGATAAAAACAGAAAGAGAAGGAGAGAGTGTTAAAGAAAGAAAGGAATAAATAAATACGAGAAAGAGAGAGTGAGAGTGAGAGTGTGAGTGTGAGTGAGAGAGAGAGAGAGAAAGAGAGAGTGAGAGAGGTATAGAAACGAGTAGTAAAAGGTGAAAAGCAGAGAGTTTCGTTTCGTTGCTCGAAGAAAGGGTGAAAAAGAAAAAAAAGATAAGGTAGGTGTGCGTTCGCGCTTCGAAAAATGTGGCGGTGCTGCCGGTGGAGGAGCCGCCACCTCGAAGAAGACAACGAACCGACAAAGAGGAGAGTTACGACGACAACAACGAAAACAACGAGGAGGATAAATATTGCTGGAACGACCGGGACGTGTATCGAACAGGAGGAGGAGGAGGAAGATAAAAAGAATATAGATTTGGAAGATCTAACGAACAAGATATTAACGAGGAGAACATATTACTCCTCTTTGAGAATACATAATAACAATAATAATAATAATAATAATAATAATAATAATTGGTCGCTGATTAAGTCTTCTTATCAATCGTAATAATCACCAAACCGTTTTTAACTCAACCTCGTGAACAAAATACGTTTTTACGTGAGAAAGTTTGCAATTCGACAACTGTTATTGGATATTAATTGACAACAACCCTTTTGCATGGCGAGTTATACGCGGGAACGTTCCTCCAGACAATCCGAGTGAGTTGTGATTATTTATTTTGATTGAACAAAAAAATAATGATGCTTATTTCGCATATTTATTTAATCATCAATTATATTGATCTTATTTTTTCTTATTCGATAATATACCGATCGTCATCATCATCATTACCATATTTCGTTTATTACGAGATGGGAATACAGTGCAAGTAGTTTATGCCGACCGTCAAACACACTAAAACGCTGTGTTTGACGCCGAACGTCTATATTCACTTTGTCTGTGGTCCTACTACTACCATCAACTCACTTTTCCTCGATCCGATCGAACGTGAAATCTCGAACCGCGGGATATATACATACACACCGCATTCCATCTCTCTAATGTTTTTTCTATCTTTTTTTCTTTTTTCTGTTTAATTGCCTATCTCTCGCAAAGAGAAGAGGAAACAAAATTGTTCAGATTATTATTTATACCGATATCTTGTTATATCCATTTACTATTTCATCTACTGTAATTTCATTCAGCTTGTAATATATTCTATCGATAGACGACAGTATTTTACACTTGTTTAACTATTGAACAACTAGGATCAATGCGTTAACATATGTGCTAGATTACTCGCTACTTTTTAATCAATTTATTCGCTATCGAAATATTTCATTCTTGATTAATATCAATTTTTTGTTCCCTTTTATTATTATTATTATTCAATTGATTCTCGAATTTTTTTCCAATTAAACAATTTTTTATCGATTTTTTTCTCTCTCAATCGTTTATGCATTCGTTCATTTTAATGTTAATAAATAATAAAGATTGTATTATTTACAAACGTTCGATAATGTTCAAGGATTACATTCGTATGACAATTACGTTTAGTTTATGCTCGCTTACGTTATCATAAACGTTAATATTTGTACGCAATTGATAATTTAGATCTTAACGAATAATAATAATTATTTCCATATGTTTACGTACATTCAACATTCCATAATTCGTAATTTATTTTTGTTGATTATCATAAACTGAATGATATGCACTTGAGAGATTATATTTCGTTTAATTAAACGATTTCTCTCTTTCGATTAAATATGACGTATGTCACCACGTATGATGTAATAGTACACCACACAACGATGTTGACTTTCTTGTATGTGTCGATATGCGGTTGATGACCTTCTCAATTTGTCGAAGTAAAATCAGACTTCATTTATTTTTGTTTTAAATTATATTCGAGATACATTGAATAATTACACACATAAGAAAAAAATACAATATATCTAATATCAAAAGGAAATGATTATAATTTTATATATATATAAATATATTTACGTTATTTATAGTGATACCATGGACGATGATATCGATGATAAGGATGATACAAAACGGTAAGCGGTATTTAATAATTCGCGTAAAGATCAAAGATTCAACTTTTTTTCATTCTTATTTTTAATTTAGAAAGTCACGTAATCTCAGCGAGAAAAAACGCCGAGATCAATTCAATATGTTGGTGAGCGAGCTTGGAAGTATGGTGAGCTCAAATACACGAAAAATGGATAAGTCCACGGTATTGAAATCAACTATCCTATTTTTGAAGAATCACAACGGTGCGTTTAACAAAAATGCAATCGTTTTGTATTTAAATGAGAATAATTATGAAATGAAAAAAAAAAAAGAAAAAAAGAAAAAACAAAAACAATTCTTAACGCGCGAATGAATATTATATTTAAATAAAATATTATTGTATCATTACAGAGATAGCTGTTAGGTCTAGGGTACATGAAATTCAAGAAGATTGGAAACCATCTTTTTTATCCAACGAAGAATTTACTCACCTTATTTTAGAAGTAAATAGATAGCCATTGTTATGCGTTTTATATAGATTATTATATAGACTTATCGCTTATGTAAAATAAACATAACAACAATTTTGTTGTAATTAACAGGCCTTAGATGGATTCATAATGGTATTCTCATCTAACGGACGTATTTATTACGTTTCCGAAAGTGTTACATCTCTTCTCGGCTATTTACCAAGTGAATTAGAAAGCACTACTATATACGATATTGCTTATCAAGAGGATCAATCTCATCTTTACAATGTCTTACTTAATCCCAACAGTATAAGGGATCGATGTACAGTTAAAAAGGGTACGTTTAGAGAACAATAATAAATTGAATCGACGAAGTGTTTTAATAAAAAATGTTCGATCATTTGTTATTTATAGAAGACCAAGTATCCTTTACATGTCACATCAAAAGAGGGGGATTTGATTATCAAGAAGATCCCATTTATGAACTCGTTCAATTTATTGGATACTTTCGTAAGTAAATTTTTTCTTTTTTTATTTTTATATTTCATTCATACGTATATAATTAGATATATAAAAGAATAATAATATTAATTATTTAATTATGTTCGATGAAGGTTCTGACGTGGATACCAATATGGATAATTTAGTTCCTAATTCAAGGTTTAACAACATGTCTGGATCCGATACCAAGTAATTTATAATTTAATTATTATTTTTGTTTTATATATATATATATTTTTTTTTAATTTTTTTGTATTATATATATTTATAATACAAAAAAAAAAGCAATATAATATCATTACGCGATACATATGTATATGTATATTATTTATATATATATGTATATATGAATTATATTATTTACAGAATGGTTTTTGTTGGAACAGGCCGACTTCAGACACCGCAGTTGATACGAGAAATGTCGGTCATGGACAGCACAAAATCTGAATTCACTTCTCGGCACAGTCTTGAATGGAAGTTTTTGTTTCTAGATCACAGAGCACCACCTATTATCGGATATTTACCTTTCGAGGTGCTAGGTACTTCCGGATACGATTATTATCACGTCGATGATTTGGATAAAGTCGTCACTTGTCACGAATCTTGTAAGTCATTTAATTTAAATCGTAATACATATTTCCAATTCAAGGTTTCCCTATGAAAAGACAATTTTCAGTAATGCAGAAAGGAGAGGGTACATCTTGTCACTATAGATTTTTAACGAAGGGCCAACAATGGATATGGCTACAAACTAGATTCTTCATAACTTATAATCAATGGAATTCTAAACCAGAATTTATTGTATGTACGCATCACGTTGTCAGTTACGTCGATGTCATGAAAGAAATGCGCAAAGATGCTGGTACCAATTTTAATAAAACATATGCCCAAGATGTAATTCTAATGCCAGTTAAACAACAACAACAACAGGTTATTAATAATACTTATTATTTATTTCTATATTTATTATGATATTATTCACTATTTTGTTGTTAAAGTAATTAATTATTATTATTATTATCAGGTAACTACTACTTGCCAAATACCTATGACACAGTGGCCAACAAAAGTGTCAAAAAGTTCTAAGACTATAACGAATAGTTCAATGTCTCGACGTCTTGGTGAAGGTTCGGACACATCTTCCATATCAACGTCATTAAGAAGTTCACCGCATTCGCAAATAACGAAACACGATTCGAGAACTAAAACAGCTTCGGTCAGTAGTTCGGTGGCTTCCCAACCAATGCCCATGGAAAGTTGTCAACAACAACAACAACAACAACAGCAACAACAAACGCAACAGCAACATCAATTAGGAGATGATCAATCTTGTATAAATTATATGGAACCAACCCAATATGCTATGGTCAATCTTCAACCTGTTGTAACAGCGGGCTTTGCTACACCATCGGGATCTTTAATTTCTAATTTACCAACCCACGAGGTATTAATAATATTCAAATAATAAAAATAAAATCAATTTAAGTTTTCTTCAAAACGAAAATTTTTGTTTAGATGTTACACCAACAAGGTATCGTTATGACGCCTGCGCAAAATCAAATACAGGACGAATTGCAACGTAAACACGAAGAACTGCAACAATTAATCGTTCATCAGCAGGAAGAATTGAGAAGAGTGTCGGAACAATTGTTCATAGCAAGATACGGAATTTTATCGCCTCTGCTTAACGTCAGTAAGATTTTAACATATTAAATATTAATTAATCATTTGAAATTTTCTCGTAATATATAGATATATATGTATATATATATATATATATAAAAAAATGATAATTTTAGTCGGGAATATCGTACAATACGACAAACACGTGCCAACCAACGAATCGATGCAATACTACGGCAAACGTTCAATTACCGTCATCTACTAGCGTCCAAGGTGTAAATATGTTGTCGTTACCGATCACTGTGCCAGTACCTATAGTGCCAACGGAATTATTTCCACATGCCTTACCGGTCAGTCCTGTACCACCAACGGTTTCCGGAGTGACTCATGTTAGCGTTAATACTATGATTCAAACGCAACAGTCTCAACAACAACCCTCGCAACAACCCCAGCAATCGCAACAACAACAGCAACAACAACAACAACCTCAAACCCAACCCCAACAACAACAACAACAACAACAACAGGGTCCATCTACTCAACAAGATGGAAATCCGGCAGAGTTCGTGCCTTTTCAAATATGTCCGCCACAAACCGATATACTTTACGGTAATATCGAAGTGCCAGGTGGTCAACAACCAAGACCCTCTAAAAATTGAACCCCGTTCGTTCGTACGTTTCAGTGAAAAAATGGTTGAGGAAAAAAAAATTCATTTTTGTAAATCTACATTCTGTATAAAAGAAGACTCCAATTTTCTAGGAGATAATAGAAAATGAACGTTTTTTCAAGTATTCTATAATGAAGGATCAGAATTCTCCATGTGAAAAGTACAAAAAGGTTTATTAATTATTATTATTAGAGTTTGGTGAATGGAGAGACATAATTTCTCCTTTAACGAACCGATTATTATTATAAGTATGTCAGTAATCGTAAACATTATTATATTCCTAATGAAAATGATATTGAAATTACGATCGATATGTACACAATGTACACAACGACGTGTATTATAATTAATAATGCACTGTATTCATATATATATCAAATGACCCTAATTTTTTTCTATCGGGTTTCATACAGGGTGTAAGTGTTTTCAATTGCGAATTAGAAAGTCACCAATATGATTACAGTGATAAAGATCAAAAGAAAGTAATATATTTTGTTGTACATGTATTATATATATATATATGTATACATATATACATATATATAATAATAATAATAATAATAATGATTTTCTTGTATATCTACCAACACTTAAGAATACGACCATTGTATCATAATTTATTATATATGTTACTGTTAAAGTGTCTAATTCAATTGTTTTATGAAATAACTAGATATTGTATGAATTAACGATAAGTGTCTAGTTATTGTGTCATGATTCCATTATGCATTGCCGTTTCGGCAAATGTCAGCGAAAAAAAATCACTTGTTGCAGTATGTTAGGCATCCGTGACATTTTGAATTACACGCTATTCTCTTTTTTAAATAAAGGTACCCTTTTGTCTTTTATTCATGAATACAATGACAGCGAGAAAAGCCCTATCCATTACCCATGGTTTGGTTTGACACTACAGTTCAAAATGGAAGTAAGTTTATTAAAGACGTTTTTTAGAGAAAAAAATTCATTTTTTAACTTTTTATATCATATTGATTTCTTTCGTACAGAAACATTAACACATTTTACATCTTCCACAAACTTCTTGTATTTCATTGATAAAACTTTCAATTTTTCAATTAACTTTACTCAAAAATCTTTCTTAAAAATCTATTTTTTACTAGAAACTCTCTAATGCAACATTGACGCAGCCCTGATAAGTATGTGATTCTGTCTTATTTTATACTTTATTTTTGATTGATTATAGTTATATATTAGATATAATAGCTGGTTATTTCATATAATATTAACGGATTGTACAAAATGACGGTAAAATATTTACGATCGTTCTTAATGATTGTTCGATGTCATTGCGAATGAAAGGATTGATTGTTTAACGTTACCTAATTAAAAAATATGTTAGTACGGTATGACAGGTGATCATTACAAAATACATAATTCTAATAACATTTCAATTTTTTCTTATGAACGTCTAATCTCTAACTTTCCCTGCCCCCCCCCTCCCTTCTCCTAATTAATAAAGTTTATCTTATAAAAACTAGAAAATAGTACAAAAAAATATTTGACGTTTATTCCTTTAACTTGCTCAATGCTTCCATCAAAATTTGAACCTCTTGATTGACGTTATGAATCAAATCTTCTATTTGATGTTTGCTGTCTATGATGTTGATTGTTTGCGTGTAAGGATCGTATCTGACTCCAAACTTTCTTGGTATAGTTTGTGCAAATTTACTGAAAACAAATAATACGACTCTTAATATAATTAATAAAGAATAAAATGATTACGATAATTTTTAATTATTCATTAGATATATATATATTAATTATCCCTACTCACATCATTTTTTCTTTGGCATCATCGAAACCCTCCGTAACGAAGTATACCGGTTGATATTCCGTTATCGGATATTTTTGTAATGACGTGTTGACTGGATCGAAAGGACGTAACTCTGGTTTTCCACTTAAACAATATTCTAATTCGCCAAATGACGACAACAGACCGGCACCATAAGCTTTCAATTCGCCATTTTGTCGGCATATACCATATTCTACAGTGAACCAGAAACACTGCAACATTCATCAATGCAATCAATTTATTCATATGGAATATTTTTTATTTTTTTCTTGATTCAGGTAGAATAATTTTGTGATATAATTTTGTATTTGTACATAAAGAACTTTACCGTAGCAAGTTTCTCGATATATTCGTCAGGTGCACCGAGAGATGCCAAACCAACGACTTGCGAAAATTGTGCAAAAGCGGGATCGGCAAAAAGTGGTGCATGACCCAATATTTCGTGACAAATATCTGGTTCCGGAGTGTACAAGGGTTTACTACTGTGTCTGATGTATTGCGTACTATGAAATACTCTGAAGGCCAAGCCTGCTAAAAAATCACGAGAAGAAAGTAGACCTGCTACCGGACGTAGTGTAAAGCCGGTACAATCTATTATAAAAAATATAATTAATATTTATAATATATAACAAAAATATAATTCTCGCGCCTGCGTATAAATTTTTTGATAAGAAAAAAGTTTAATAGAACCTTTCAAAAAATTAGATATATCATCGAGTTGAGGAATATTGTCTTCCCTGTATCCACAATTTTCTATGAAAAGTGGAAACACGTGATTGTGTTCTCTGCATGCATATTTTGGATAAAGTTTCGTCAAATTTCGAAAAACTATACCCCACGTAGCAATTTCTTCCGGCGTGTATTCTACTTTTGGTATTGGTTGACCACTTAAAAAGAAAAGAACAATTTCAATAATCAAATCGTTAAACAAACATGTTTGCACCGTAATAACAATTATTGAGAGATAACCATTAACGTTAGAACAACACTTTATCTTGTTTGTTATGATTTGTTAATTCATTAATCTCATCGACGAAAAAACATTGATGACGCATTGATAAGTTAAATTAAATGACTCTCACTGTTTGTAATGATATGCCAAGTCAGCAAAATATTTTCTTCTTTGTCGATAAACAGGATCAGTAAATCCAGGATGATCGCTGTCAAGTTCCGATCCATAAGAAAGAATCTGATTGGCGAATTTATCGAGATCTCTAATCCTTCTAGGAAACCATGGTACTGTGTCCATATTATCCTTATGATTCCTATAAAAAGAAATTAATATTTTTCATTGCAAATTACTCGTTTTCTTTTTTATTTTCCCATATTTATTTGTTCTTTATTTTTTTTTTACCTAGAAATAATAGAAAAGTATTTGCATTGTACTCGAAGATCTTCGATGACCGATCCAAGGTTTAAACTGGGTGCACATTCCACCATAAATTCGTAACCATTAACACGACGCGAACTTCTCGATTCGATGTGTAAAAGATTGATTTCATATTTCTAAAATTTTAATTCAAAAAAAAAGAAAAAAAAAAGAAAATATTTTGTTAAAATATAATAATAATAATTAATTAGTTTTTTTTTTATTTCACTCACGGCAAATAATTGAAGATATTTTCCTAATGCTCCAACTTTATCATCCTCTTTAGGTGAAAATATTAGACAAGTACTCTTAGCCGAATCTTTTCCTTCTTTTATGTAATTTCCACCGTGCATTAGTTTTGGCTGTTGTAATAAAAAAAAAGAAAAAAATTATATTAATTATAAAAGTGTGTGAATATTATCCTGTATTATAAAAATTACAAATATAATATAAAAAGTGTAAAGTAATTTGTTCTCACGTTTAACATCGTTATAAAATATATTTTACTGTGTCGTTCTACGTTACTAAGAGATATGACTTTAAAAGTAAGAAACTTCTAACTGTGTTTTATACGTATGTTCTCTGTTTCCCCCACTTGTAGTTTTGTAACGTAGAAAAGTTCTTATAAGTTTCGGGAAATACCGTCGTAAATATTACTTTTGGATATATTATTATCTTACACGGTAATTAAATTGACATAAAGATAAATTATGAAAATGTTAATTGCATTGATTATGAGTAAGAACATTGATAAGAAATTATTATCGCTATTATTACTAAATAAAAATATGTTTACCAATGAATATAGAATTCTGTAACTTAACTAAATTTTGCATCATGCTTATACGATTATGGGTATTCATTTAACAATGAGAACGAAGGCCGATTTCTCTGTCCTCAATATCTTTTTCTGGAATGGAATGTTAATGTAGAAACAGATCTCAAAGTTTTATTTTGCTCTTTTAGCAACTAGTTTCACAAGGAAATAAAAGATTGAAGGTCTCGATTGTAAAGCAATTATGGATATAATGTATAATGAACAACTTAATCGAGACAAACATCATTCGGAATCCTTTTACATATAATTAAATATGATAAATACTAATAAATTATGCAGAAGTAGAATGGAAAACAATCTTTTGAATATAATCAATACGTCGTATGTATTTAATATAAATTCTTGATGATTAAATGTCGCGAGACCAACCACATCACCTCATACTTTTATACTTAATTATTCTCAAGGTTTACAGTAAATTAAATTCTTGATAGAATGTAAATCAATTTTAGTAAAATCCTATGTAATTGCATTCAAATCGAACTTTGTTCCGTTCAAAAAAAATGGTGATAATAATAACTTTTTATTTACTAAACGAAACAATCAACGAAATATTTTTAAATATGTTAATTGAACACATATCTTAATTGAATTTTTGTTTATTGTCAAAAATTATTAACAATAATATATATGAGCCGTTTATTTTGAAAGTGGCATAAGTCACTTTTTTTTTTTTTTATTGAAAATGAAAAGATACCGTTCAGTTATAATTAGTGTTACCATTAACTCGGTTTATTTGAAAAAGTGACTTATATATGTATATAATATTTATATAATCTTTATATATGTATACTTATATATATATATATAATATTCTTTCGAGAAACAATAATAAATATATTTCAATTTAGTTTTGGCGATAAAACTCTTATTATTAACGCTTGAAAAAATACAAAATTTTAATATTCAATAAGTCTATACAAAAATGGTAAATATATATAATTGAGAATTCATAAATGAAAATAAATTATAAAAATGATTCTTTTACACGAACCTTGTCGAGAGGGGACGAACTTAAAATTGTGCTAGTATCATCTCCATCGTTAACATTCTTCGAATTAGAATACATTTTGCACTATAATTTAAATAATAAAATGATCAAGAAAACAATTTTGTCGTTAAGGATATATATATTATTCGATTTTAAAAAAATTATTTCAAGAGACACGTTATACGATTCGCATCGTTCGGCTGTTGAAGACTAACTAAATAAAATCTTAATAGCATAGTAGCTTTCATCTCTTTTTTACGACAGGTTAAGTTACAACGGTTATAAAAATAATATTATTCGATCAGAGAAATTTAGATAAGAAAAATATTCAATCTAAACGATTGGGAGAGAAAGTATCTCTATTTGAAATGAACGTACGAGGGTCATGGTGTTATCGTTCAAACTAACGTTCATTTATACTTTCTTATATGACAAATATAAAAATAATATCTTTTTGTTATAAAAAAAAAAAAGTAAAAAAGCACTAAAGAATATTCTTCATTTTACATTCCTTTTTACTTGCAATATTTAAAAACGTCATTTGTTAAGTTCAAATACATTATATAAATATCTTTTTACGTTCTTATGATTTTTATAAGTAAATTATATATTAAAGATATTAACAATTTTATTCAAACGATTTTAAAATCAATGTCAAAGATTAATAATGATTGAAATTGCATTTGCATTATTCGAACGATGATGAAATTTATATTTATATATAGTTTCTGCTTTTGAATTAATATTTAAAATAAAATACAATTATTTATTAATATAATATAGCATGTTTCCACACTCTTAGTAATTTTTATATAATTTCAATTATTTAAATAAGTATCTCTTAAATAATTTTTCGAAGAAGGAATCAAACTTATCGATCAAAATCCTTCGATCAATCAAATATGTACAAGTGGCGTCATCTTTTAGAAATTAATAGAACTATAAAAAAAATCATACAGAAATGTATGATCGTCAGTAAAGCAGTTCTCTGTTTATACTACTTAAAAATGTCTGACCATATAAAGATATTTTTTTGTATGCCACTTAAATAAAATAATAGAAATTATTTGTTATAACAATTTTTATCTAATATTGATATCATATTTTGTTAAACACATATCTTTGTATTATAAAAATTATATTGTAAAATAAATAATTATTTTAATGATAAAAAGTTTATATTTAAATAAAAATTAATAAGATGTTAATTAAACAAAAATATGAAATATAAATCATTGAATTATTCTAGATTCGAATTTTCTTATTATCAACGTTATCGAAGAAGATTTTTTATCAATGTGCATTTAGAAATATAGAGAATTTGCATTAACGAAGAAAATATAAATATTTTCCGTAGATATCATTCAGATAAATGATAGGTAGCCGAATGATTTCGTTCGTACCAAAGACGACCTCTTTTATCTCAAAATGATTGACCCCTCTTTTGACATCTTCATCTCCTTCAAACCCCTTCTTCTCCTTTAGTATAACCAGAGTAAAATCAAGTACAACGAGTGTTATTAAAATTTAGCTGTTGAATAACTATTGGTATTAGTACGCCAATATTTTGTAACGATAATGTGCCGATGATCTTTGCTCCAAGAGTTTGATTGAAGCTTTTAATGAGATCTCAAGCTTTTAGTAGTATCACGAATTCATACAGTGAAGACCTATTCATTCCTATAAGAATTATTTTCGAATTTTTTATTATTTTATTCCAAATAAAATTCATTAAATTTTAACGTTCGATGAGATTTATAAATATTTTAGTTTTATTTAAACGTAGCAGAACAGAAAGTGAATTAAAACGAGTCGTTGCAGTTTCTTGGAAATGTAGCTATGACATACCACCAACCGGTAAGTAAATTTATATTATTATTATTATTATTATTATTATAAATAATTATTATGTAATTGATCTCTATAAAAAGAATAAAATAATAAACTTTATATATGCATAAGAGTGCAATCGCGTTTCTATTTATTTTGTTATAAAAATCATTTTAAACGCGATCTCAACAATATTGCGATTTTAATTTCAACGTATAGTTTCTCATAAAATACAAAAATTTACGAAACGTAAAAGTCACACAATTTTTATAAAGATTATTATTAATATTTTCATGAAAATGTTCATTTCAGACTCTAGTACAAATTAGCAGTGATCGATCTTTCATGGATTCCGATTTATTGCCTGTGGAAATTAATCGATATTCAAGTAACCAAATCTTCAATGCATCATTGAAAGGAAAAAATTTGAAAGCGTTACATTTTAGAGACGGTTTATTCAAAAACGGACATTCCTTTTGGAAGTGGAAAAATCGCGGAAGAGATAACAGAGGTCGATTATTATGGCACTCGATTTCGCTGCTGGATGTTTGGGAGGTAATTTTATTTCAAAATAAAGAGTGTTATATTCATATATATATATAATAATACTATAGATAAACATTATTTTATCAGCTTAAAAAATGATCGAAAAATCGAAGTTGATTTAAATGAATGCCCCTCATTCAGTTTATTTTTTAATATTTGTATAACAAATCAATTGTTCGTTCAAAAAATTAATAATTACGTTCAATTTGAATGTGTCAACCCTTCAATATTTATATATCGTTGGATATTGCATATTTATCATATTGAAGAATAACGTATAAGAACATAAGGTCAAGATCAAAGAATTTTTCCGACATTTTTAAAGAAATGTTTCACAGTCTGAAATATTACTATATTTATTTACGACATATCGCATAATTTATCACATGACTTGTTTTATCATAGGTCAACGTTAAAAAACCGATAAGAATGTATATATATATATATATATATAATTGATTATATTTATTTCTTTTGATTACAAAAGTACCACGCGCCACGTAGTATAAATCAAATGATTAAATCGTGTTCGTATGATAAAAAAAAAAAAAAGAAGAAAAGGATGATTTATCTGGAACATTGTCTAATAATATTAATAATTTGTATTATCATATTTTTATCTCTATTATTTTGAAATATGTTTTAGGGTGCGCCGGTATTATGGTGGGATATCCTTTGGATACGGTCAAGGTCCACATGCAAACGCAAGATAATAGAAATCCAAAATACAAAGGCACGTTGCATTGCCTTCGGACTTTGATTAAAAAAGAATCGGTAAAATTCACTTCATAATTGATATGATTACAAACTTATAAAAATAAAAATCTAATCTAATTATAATATATATATATATATTTGTATTAAAAGGTGTCTGGTCTGTATCGAGGTATGACGTCACCAATGGCAGGAGTAGCCGTAGTAAATGCAATAATATTTGGTGTTTACGGACAAGCACAGAAGCACATGTCCGATAAGGATCGTCTTTCTTATCATTTTCTTGCTGGTACTATGGCCGGTATTGCACAATCACCGATCAGCAGTCTTATCGAATTAGCCAAGACTCGTATGCAATTGCAATCATCAACTAATAAGACATTCTCCGGACCAATGAAATGTCTCAAACATATTCACAAAAAGGAAGGATTTCGTGGTGTGTTTAATGGTTTTGGTATCACGTTTCTTCGAGAAGCACCCAGCTTCGGTACCTATTTCTTGACTTATGAGTTTCTTACCCAATCGAAGGAACCAATATCAACAAGTAGAATGTTACTAGCTGGGGGATTAGCTGGTACAGCATCTTGGATAGTTAGTTATCCCTTGGACGTCATCAAATCTCGTATACAAGCGGAAAGTAACAATCGTTATAACGGTGCATTAGATTGTTATAGAAAATCTGTACGTTCGGAGGGTTATTCCTGTCTTTACAGGGGTTTAAATTCAACCATAATACGTGCATTTCCTACAAACGCTATGACATTCGCAGTGGTCACTTGGACGTTTAGATTTTTTGGTGAACAACGCATCGAAACATCAAATACCGAAAAACTTTTATCGACATACGAATCATTCGTTGGTAGCTGGGTTACTTTCTTAGACAATGCTAATTGTTTAGGTCAAACTAATTATCATAATGTTACGATAATGGCTGCTGGTTCGATGCTTCGTGATGTATTCTCGAATAATAATAATAATAATCATCACGATGGGTCTACAAAATTGTGGTCCAAAATTGATATCTTTGATCAAAGGACTCGAGAGTGTTACGAAATTCAAAGAATTCATCAAATGAACGATAGAGAACATTCGGAAATGATTAAAACAGAATTAACAGATAGCAAGGATCTTGTTATCGACAATAATTGCAATATGCAATGTCCGATCAATGCATCTGGTATAATCATGAACGAATCTATATAAAGTACAAAAAGAAGTTCAAGTTGTTATTACGTGAATTTCAATAGTGTTATATCTTTACTATTATATAATATAATATAATATAATATAATATATATA